TATAGTTGCCGCACTCCTATCCTGAGCCTCTTTTGTAAATTGGGACTATGACGGAGCGGCTCCAGTCGGTTGGAACAGATCCCTGCTCCCACATTTTCACTAGTACCTCGTATATATCATCCACAAGATCAGGTTACTGAATTTGAAGAGGGCTGGAGGAAGATCATCTGGTCCCGCGGATTTGTTCAACTTCAACAGTTCAATCTCTCTTTTGACTTCTGAGCGAGAGGATGGATTCAAAGGGAAAGCCCAGGGAGCAGGGCGATCAGTGGTCGGCGGCAAATCTAACAATTCTGACGGATTAAATTGCCTTTCAAATTGCTCAGCCCAACGCTCCAAGCGTTTTGACAAGTTGCGGATAGACTGTCCATTTTCCTCACGTATAGTTTCACCAACACTAGGTCTCCTGCGTATCAGACGGAATAACTTAAGATGATTACCAAGGGCAGCGGCCATTTCCATCTCTGAAGCACGATGGGATGACCAAGATTCGCGGTGTCTCTTCAGGTTAGCATGGAGTTTTGCCCGGAGCTCTTTGCGAGTTTCATTGTGTTCGCTTCCAGCCGGAATATGCCAGCGCGCATCGATAAGTTCCAGAGACTGTGAAGAGACCCAATGTCCATGTTGGTGATTAGACCTACCACATGAGGATTTTCCTGCTGCTAGTAAGGTCTGGTAAACATGCGACCAGTTACCATCAATTGTTTCCAGTGAACGTTTACTCAACTCGCATGTCAGCGTACTTTGTTAGGCATTCAGGACAGCTGGCTTCACCAGTTGGCTGACAGCGATGACGAATAGACACCTATTAGTCCCGTTCGGCTTTGAAGCTTTGAACGAGCCAGCCAATCGGACCGTACACATCCGCTTACTGATTGGAATCCAATGAACGAGAGCAGCTTCCGCCCGGGGACTCAGGTCAATGCCAACACCAACTTGGCCGGTGTTCAAAACTGCATCGTCACCGGATGGGCGCAATGAGAAAGTGCTGCTAGTGTCACCTGAAGGGGATCGCAGAGTGAGCGCAGAGCTCGAGTCTTGCAGGCGAGTCTCCAATAAGCAGTAGATATCGATTGAGAGGGTCTCTAATGTTCGGGAAGTTGCTGCATATTGACCGATCTGTAGTTATGTGGGTACATTGAAACATACCAATCTGAAGTATGATCGAGGGCTCTGAATGGAAGACGATCAACTGGGCTTGGACATGGGTTTGTCGACAGGGCAGAAGTGACGCTCCGCGTTAACCTATGAGTTGAAATTAAAAGGTAAAAGCCTATCAACGCAGATTTAGGGTAGCGCCGAGAATTGAGCGGTTAAAAACAAGGTGAATAAAAGTGAAGCTGGAAGGGGACGGTAGGAGTGAAAACGCGTAATTGGGGGAATAAGTAGATGGGCATGCTTGAGCAGTCCCATCCAAACCCATATCCACCCTGCTCGATGCAGCAGATAGAGCACCGTTGATTATCCTCTGCGGTAGCCAGAGCGTCAAGAAATTGTTTGACGAATGATTCAAAGTATTGCGTGGGCAGGATACTGTCAGGTTGCCCAGACCTAGACAGGAGAACGATTAGGGTCCTCAACCAAAGCCTTTGGTACAAAAACCTGTCCGCAAGGCAGCGGGTTTGGCATTGGGCTACAAAGAGTCCGTTTTAAAGAATAATTAGGCACTCTTATTCCAACCCCCAACCTGGAGGACCAGGAGGCTGAGTTTGTCTGGCCTCTAACCATTGACCAATCTGGTATGAGTGGTCCGATTGTGCATTAAACCACCACCTAGCATAGCTCAATAGATCACTGAGGCACGCAAACCATCGCAACACGATAAGCTCCAGCTTCATTGCGATGGACGTGGACGCCAGATGCTCAGTGGGGGTTTGACGACATTCAGAAGGAAGTTTGAAGGCAGAATCTTACGTTGAAATTGTCGATCGCCGGAGAAACGTTCACGGTGACCACAGACGCAATCGACGTCGGAATCGGTACGATACTGAAGCAAAAGTAGGAGCCGATTGAATACGCCAGCAGAATTTTAACGCCATCGGAACGCGAGTATTCCACAGTAGAGAAGGAGTGTCTAGCAATTGTTTAGGCGCTGGACAAGTGGCGGGCGTGCTTACTAGGTCACGTCGAAACGTCACAAACCATGAGAATTAATTAGGTTCTCCAAAAACCCCAGGGGCAAGTTGGCTAGGTGTGTGTTGCGCTTACAAGAATACGGTTTCACGATAAGCTACATATCAGTGAGGGACCATGGAACGGCAGATTTTTATCGCGCGTGACGAGTGACGACGATTTGCCGAACGTTGTCTTCGGTGTCAGTTGTTTGATGCTGGAGCAGAATCCGAGGAGGTTGGCAACTGAGCAACGAAAGGATAAGCTCCTGAAAAGGCTGACAACAGCACAAATAATGAATCAAGCTGTGACAACCAACAGCCAAGACTAACCATTCGGGCCATTCGAGCGGAACGTGGAATATCTGCATGCCAGCGAAGTTGGAATTCTGATGTAGACACAAGAACGGGCGCTACCCCGGTGTCGGTGATCCCACCGAAGTTAAGGAGAAAGTTGGTCATCTCTTGTCACGAGATGACTTATACCAGATGCATCAGATTCTCTTAGGCAGCGAGCTTACTTGCCGGGTATGAAAAAGGACGTTGGTATAAACGTCCTGTCATGTCAGCAGTGCCAGCTCTTGTTGGGCGACAATCGAACAGTATCACAACTTATGCTCGCGATTCCAGAGTCTGAGATTGGTGAGTTGTGGTCAGTCGACTTGATGGGGCCGCTCGCGTTAACGAAACGTGGCAATCAATACATACTCGTGATGATCGAGCACTTCACCCGCTGGATTGAAGCCGCAGCAATTCTTGATCAGCCGGCTAGCACGATAACATATGCGGTGATGAGGCACGTGATAGCGGGCCACGGAATTCCGAAGCCCATGCTGACGGACCAGGGGCCATGCTTTGAAAGTGACGAGTTCCGGACATGTTTGGAGCAACTGAGCATCGCGAAGATACAAACCACTCCCTACCATCCCTAAGCCAATAGATTGACGGAGAGGAATGATAGAACGATTAAAGAATGGCTGGCGGCGAAAGAGTGATTGGGAAGAAGGTCGACCACTACTGTTGCTAGCTTACCGGGTATCCCAGCAAGGAAGCACGAGGCAATTCCCATTTCGGTTAGTGTGCTGCCGCCCGCCCCGAAATCCTGCGGATCTAGAGGTGAGAATGTGGCCGACTTGCCAGTTACCACCAAGGAAAGCATGGAACAACAGGAAGGTAGCGAACCGAATTCTTTAGGCAGCCCAGGCGCGGATAATGGAGAAATCCCTGGTCAACATGAAAAAACCTTCCGGAGACTTTTCAATCGGTTAGAAGGTAAAGTACAGGGATCACCAACGCGAGACAGCATGTGGCCCAGGTAAGAGGAAACTCCTCCCGAACTGGAAGGGACCATATGGCGTTACCGATCGACGAGGCCCTGTATACACCATCACTCGACAGGGAGATAGGCAGCGGGTTCACACTAGCGAATCGCGAAGTGGTACGAGTGAGGAGAGGAAACTAAGGTATACATTGAGCAGCCCTGAAGGTCGGAGAGGCTGTGCAAAATCGACGGCCGCGAGCCTTTAGAGGGGAAGAGTGTGTTGCACTACTAATGAGTAGTGCGGCGAAACGGGCGGGCGCGTAAACTCAGTGAATAATGGATCACCGCGGAAGACGGACGCTTAGTGCACAATTCAGTCAGCCATGGAAATGGATGACGCTGGAGCTTTTGGCCTATACTACACCGTCACGGCAAGCTGAGTCGATAGTACATAGCAGAGCGTAGAATCAAATGGCGCCACAAATGAGGTGCGCAAATGAGTCGGACTGTCCTATGTTCGAGATGTTATGCCATGTATACGTGTGTTCAATACCCAACTCGTTTACACCGCGCTGCCTTCTCCACAGCGTTACTATCTCCTTACTTGCACGTTATTGCCTTGCGGAAGGCGGTCGCCCCTTCACTAAGTGACAACTAATATATCATGTTTCTCGACGGTGCGAGAGATTGTTCCCACATGTGGAAAGATCACTTGGTATAGAGTATTTATTACAAATAATGTCACCATAGAGGAGTTATTACATTAGAGTTTGCGATATGTATGCAATTGTGTGTATCAACGGTGTCACACGTTCCTGGTGTGCAGAAATAACAGCACATGCATGTGTGGGGAGCAGGTTTTGTAAGCGAGGTGCCTGCTGTTTATGTAGTTTTTCGTTGACTGTATTTTTACCAAAGTAAACCTTCGCAGTCTAACCAGAAAGCGGAAGTTGTGTCTGTATTCGCCAAATCAGTATCTCAACCTTCTGCTTTCGTTGGTAGCTGAGACTATTCAGTCTTGTGATTAACTTTCAGGTTAGAAAGCATAAGCATCTAATCATTTCAGTATTAGTGCACCGAAAGACGCATCGCATTACTTGCTCAACTGCAGTTCTAGTCCCTTAGGATATTGTACCAACGTTGGTGTTCTCAACAACTTTTCAGACTGGGGTTGTCAGATCTGTCTCACATCGACTTGTTTGTCAATCATTGTTTGAATATGGCCAACCCATGGGATCATGTCTCTGCTGCTATACGACGAAAATATACTTTCTTATTCGTTGTCCAACCGGTTGCCTTCTGTTCGTGGATCTATCTGTCTGTACCTCTTCTGATTTTTAAGTTAATTAGCGGCTCAGGCTAAAAGGTCAACCTATCATCCAAACCCAGACATTGCCTTCAGCATAATCTGACAGTATTATTCACTTAATTGAGTTGCTGTAGACCGTTGAAACCTCAGATTCTTCTTTATCGCGAACCTACACCCTTGCTTTATACTCACTATACTCACGGTCATGGGTATTCCTGTTATACTTTGCTTACGGCTAGCTTTTAAATTCTGGGTTCGCCAAAGGCTTTGTGTAATCACTTTCAGTTCTATTCCCCATAACCATTTTTTTCCTTTGAAGACCGTGAATCGGATTGCCCGGATGAGGCGACATCTGGCGCTGCATCCACGCGGCATAACGCAGATGGCCCAGTAAGTGCGCTATTCAGCTTCACAGTTTATATTTCTTTACTCTTTAGCCCCCGAAGAAAGTCAAACGGAAATGAACACACCTCTTCCTTTACATTGTACAGTTTGCTAAAGCCCCATTCGCCTTGTGATCCTTCTTTTCGATCACTATGTTACTTTAAAAATAAAACTGTTGGAGGGTCCAAGCATGATGCTTTTTACCTTTGGCCTTATTCTTCGCGCACTGGACACTACATCATTTATCTACTTTCTCGAATAACACTTCACGGTTGTGTTTTTGGGACGATCTTTTACCTATTTCTTGACTGTGCGAGATATAGTCCAGTTAGGATAGATATTTGTTCGCCATTTTAGTGGTGTTCGTTTAGTAATAGTGTTAGAAGGTCGGCAGATGGCCGAATGGTCTGCACGCCTGGCTTGCAACTATAAGGTCACCGGTTCGAATCCGTGTAGGGGCGGGGGTCTTCGCGGTATACTCAGCCCATGCGCGACGGCTGATGGTCGCGTGGCAGCGAAGCGCCGTTACAGTGTACAGCTGACACCTTATTAATAGTGTTAGAAATATGGGGAATTTGAGAGTAAAATGAAAGTGCTTATTGCAAGAATTTGTGCGATTATCGGTGGAACCGTCTCATGGAGACCTGCTTCCATGCGGGGTAGTCTCTCGAAAGTTTTCATCCTCGCTACTACGCCCCATCTGGCCATGTGCCGGTGTGGCATAGGGGCGAGTAAGCCATCATCGTATTAGTTCATTTTTAGAGTCGTATAGACAGAGAGGCTCTCCTTCACCGAGCACTGAAAATTGCTACGGATATTCGAGTTGTTCCCTCCAGAAATGGAGGGAAACAGTTAGCAGTGCAGAACAAATGTAAAGAGAGTAGTTAGTTTGGCATGGCGATGCGAAAAGCCACATGATCTTGGGATAGACAGAAGCTATATACCTATACTTCAACTCCTTCTTAATACATTGGTTTCATACTGCAGTCCAGTTTCATCAGTATTAACGAAACACAATATGATACGTATCCAGCATACTTCCAAACGATTGTTTGGACTCACAGTGTTTCCACTTATCCGATTAACTTCTCAGGTAGAATTTCCCGCATTTGTTTGTTTTAGTTTTACACGTAGGTAACGAATTCCTCTTATTCATGATGTCATTTTTCATTTCGATTGAAGTGAATACTGCTATGCATAGCACCTGCGCATTTGTTCACCAAATCGAGCAGAAACAGCAGACCCAGTTTCGTTCTCCGTAGCCACCGAAGCTCTAATTTAAGTAGTATACAGCGCTCTGAATAGTTTTGCGATTATGGTTCGCTAAATAGGTCTTTGGTGAATCGTTGCTGCACGTTTTCCCATTATAAACGATCGCGTTTCCTACAAATATCATTGAACAGAGGGCGCACACAGAGCTTGAATGTATGAACCTTGGAGTCACGCAGTACGGGTGATTTGATGATTAGTCTCGCTGTTTGGCTGCTATGAATTAAATCTGCTCCCTTAAGTTGAGGGTGCTTAAATAATGAGTTCTTGAGTCTCGTATTGTGCTGCAGAACAGAATCGGCTTTCCGCAGAGGTGCCTATCAATTTTGCATTGATACACTAATGCTCTGCATTTCTCCGCAGCCCACGACATATGGCAGTTGTCGCCAGTAAGTTTCTTCGTATATTTTCCAAAGCGTTTTTCAAACTTACAGGATTAAAAACGTACAGTGCTCTAATATCATCGGAAATGTGGTAGGGTATCCCACATCTATTAGCGTCTGTTATGTCATTGAAGCACATCAAGAAGAGCAGAGGACAAAAGGAACTCCCGTGGATCACACCGCTAGTAGCGGACAGTCATGATGACCTGTATGCATCTGTTAGGTGCCATCAGTAAGATGTGATCCAAAACAAGTATGAAAAAGATCTACGATGCCAAATGGTGACAATTTCTTTGACAGGTGAACATGGGGCACACTATCAAAATTCCAACTCGCACTGAACTCGTAATATTTAATATGTTTGTGGTTTCCAATATAACCAAGCACTTCCACTTCCTATTAACCAGACTCTTTGCCGGTCAACTGATATTTCGGTGGTTCGGTGTTGCTCCTCCTAACCCTGGCACCCCATAACCGGTTTCGTCCTCCTTTGGACTCATCCGATGGAGATAGCCTGAGCTGGGGTGGACCCCGAGGCCTTGTGTTCGAAGGTTGACGCCTTGACCACTATGGCTCTAAGATCCGCAAGCAACGTTTGGCACAGCGGTAAAGAATTCCAAGTGGCATTTTGTGTACCCGCTGGTTGGTTGGATTGCGACTCGCAATCTCTATTCAGGCCTCGGTCTTTTATCACTATCCCAATCCACTTACAACCTTTACATATCAGTAAAACCTCAGTACAACATTTCAGGTGTTTCGCTTGCACTCCTGATCCTTACAAGTCCACACCGTCCTTGCTGGGACATGTGACACCACTGTTCGGGCGGTGTTGCTATATGGTAGTGAATTATGACCAGTTCGCGTAGATGGCATGGGCCTGTCCTCTCTTTCTGTGTATATATATTTTTTCTGTGGTGCAAAGCGCATAGCACCCCAGATTTTGCCATTCATCGGCTCCTGCGCAATGGACAGTTTTTGCCCTCTGTAAAATTATGTTATATGCACATGCCAAGCTGGTCGTTTTTTGATCTGGCTGGACTTCCGTCCCAAATAATATGGCTGGCACGGTCATTTGTGAGCATTTCGATCGATTGTTTATTGAAGTAGACACTATCAAATTGCTCTTGGAGCATGTGATCTGTTGCGATAAACTCCAAATATAGCTCTACGCAGATCTCAGAATTCCCCTGATATGTTTTAGCAGATTGTCAGTACTACAGATGCCTGCCATCAAATTAATCGAGGTCTTTTGCTGTCAGGTGCGATCATGTTGGGTCTCCCGCATGCGTGGCTCTGTTCGATCGCTAGGCGAATTTTAGCTGTCTATATGAGAGAAGCCAGTTGGGCATTTGTTGTTTTGGCTCTCCGAGGATAAGTGCATGATGCTGGCAGATAGGAAATGGTAAATGGGTCAAAGCATTGATGATTTCAAACGTCCTGTTTTCACTTTTAAATAATAACAATGACAGTCGATCGCCTCCATCACGAGGCCGCTTTTTAAACATGTGCCGGGTAGCATTTATCGAGTCGCTGAGGCCTCATCCACTCTGCTGGGTAGTTTTAACTGCCGAGCGCCCTGGTTTTCTTCCAGACTATCAATCCGCAATACAGCTCATCCGTCCTCAGATTCGTGCTTTCCATTCGTAGGTGGCTTCTAGGGATTTAGCATGCGGTAACGCTGCGTGGTACTGACTACTTTGGTCTCTACTGTATTTTGTTCAAGGTTCGAGTCTGCATGGGTGAGGTTGAATCGCTTATTTTTGTCTCACCAAATGTCTACGTGTTCCCTGCATCGCATCAGATAGTGTAGTTCTTGGCCATTTAGAACAGCGCTGGTCCCCGTACCACGGACCAACCCCATTTCCCAGCTTTCTCGCTCAGTCTTACAATTCCTGATCAAATAGCTTTTTTAGGTACCGCGGAGACCGTCAAACTGGTGACCCAACAGAGGCCACTACTCGGTTAAATCAGGTTGACAGTTTGTCCAACTATCTACCCATTTTTCAGACGTAGGTGTAAGCTGCTTCTGATGCATGATACCGGCTTGTGACCGAATGCTACAGGTTTATTTCTTGAAATCCACAGATCACCGATCGGTTCTGCTTAGCTGAAGACCACATCGTAGTATGCATAACGCACTTGCGACTGGTAGTCGCGTGCCAGCTAAGCATCCGCATAACGTGTAGGCGTAGGTGATCTTCCTCCCTTTTCTTCGAGACTGCTTCAATCAGCGTTAGGCTCTTCCTATTTGTTCATCAGCCACAACTAATGTTTGAAATTCCATTGATGATGCTTCTTTGCGGATTGAGAGTGTAGGCCTGTAGCTAGAAACCTCAGATTTTCGCATTACTTCGCGTTTCGCGAGTATAAACTTGAGCATGATCACAACAGGTGCAATTGCACCGGACCGGACCGACGGATCATCCGAAGCTAACTTGCTCCATTCTCGAGTGATGCTCGTACAGTCCATTTAACTGTAGTATTGCTTCGTCCGATGTCATCCTGATGTGAATGTTTGTATTGAAAAACCTTGCTGATGCCCAATGGGTTGTGCTCAACTGGAGTCTGAAGACGCCGTTCGTCATTGTCACTGCGATATGTACAAGCAATAATACAGACTTACAATTATCTAGCCCTAATGGAAGACCCGATAGGGGACTTATTCCCTCAGCATCACTTTAGTTATCTGTTTATGTTCGATAAGAGAGGATTTGTGTTGTACAAGCGATCTTTGACGACATTGGATTCGCAGTGACACCAAAAGCACCTTATCTATGTCGTAGACTGATGTAACACACTATTTCTTGCGTAATCTCTCGTTCAGAGTTTTAGCATGCTGAGCGAACTGTGCTTTATAACTGACAGCAAACCGGATCTCTATTCATTTCACATCGGTTTCTGAGACACGAACCTCACGCTTTATAGTTTTGTCCAATTAGGAGCATGAAGTGATGGTGTCGCCAGTTGCTCCACTAGTGGTTACCTCAGAGCAATTATGGCAACATTGTCAGTCGGTTGAACTATTCTTATTGATTTCTGACAGTTTGCAAGCACTCTTCATCAGCCTGTTGACAATTCCTCGCGTTACTACTACGAACTGGGCCAGAGTAGTCTGGACTAGCCTGCTTTGGCACTCCCAACAAGGTTACGATGTTTTTGCTCTGGTGATCCCCATTACGTCCTCCGGGCAATGATGAAAACCGTCCCTGGTTTATCAAACATGGTTGTAGTAGGTAAAAAGTGATAAACACTCTTGCCAAAAGGGGATATTATGACACAAGTACGTATCTACCATTCGTTGTGCTTTCTGTGCAGCGTGGACGTCACTGTCGTTGTGACCAGCTGCCGACTGTACACATACGCGCGTATTTTCTCTCCAAAGTAGATGAAAATGAGCGCAATTGTCAGGTACTGAATCCAAGTGAATTTGAGGACGTACCAGAATCCCGGACGCACACTGCAAAGGAAAGACAAAGATGATGAATTATTGCTTATAAATTTAAACTTTGAGTTCATATAACCATCGATTTTGAGCAGTTGGGTGCGCTATTTAACCTCATCTACAACCAGGTTTACTCGATGCAACATTTATCGGGTATGCTCCCTGGCGACCACGAGCTGCTTTACTTGAAGTGTGCAGTGGCAATCAAGTCGTTAGCTTGCACACTGCGAGAGATAGCCAGTTGAACTTGTGTGCCAATCTGGACTGTCTGCCATCTAGCCAGTCTCATCTGCGACTGTAGGTTGCGTGTTCCGTGCAGTTCACCAGCTTGCTTGTTTTCGCACGATAGCACTCGATAGCTCCTCACCAACTCAAAACTTTAGAATATACATCATCGACGATTTTATGACGACGAACTCATTCGTTTGGACGTCTAGTGTGCCAACTCTCATTTGTTCCTGGACGCTGTGCGAAACGCGCCTTATGCCGCAAGCGGTCACAAACTCATTAGCATCATCAAACGTACTTAATACAACCATTTGGTAAAGTGAGAGATCACCGCGCTGGCCAGCAAGCTGAATTCAGCCGCGGTCCTATCAATAAAGCGCAAATTCCGTTCATTTTCTCGCATTGTGCGTTATGTATTTGGTAACATAGCCGAAATCAGTGCCACTACGCAGTTTAAGGAATGTACAAACCCAGGTATTATAATGCTACAAGATAGTTGCTTATATATTGAAGTAGACCGTAAGATTATTCAACTCGATGAATACCATGTCGTGAGGTCCAATCGCCTTGAAATTACGGAGTGGCGTTATCACCTGGGAACTAATCATGTGTATCAGAACAAATATTAGCGAACAAGCTCGTTTTCAGTGGTTCCTCATCAGGCTAATACACCACAAATAAATGACATGAACGTAAACACCAGATAAGGGTAGAGATTCAAAACCCAGATGGTCTGAGTGACCAAGCTAGGTGATTGTCCCCACGGCGATCAACAGTGTGTTTGTCTGGCGTTGTCCACACTATGTGTCCGTGTTACAGGGGACCAGGGTAGGGTTAGTGCCTGGACAAATTTCTTGTGCGCACATAGGTCAGGGTCATGAAGCCTGATGGCTATTGCGTCGGCCGCTGCCAGTAGACGATATCTAACCGCTCTTGTGTGGCATCTGGGTACGCGATTGACTCAGTGGTTTTCGATTACACGCGTCCCTTCGGGACAGTGATTCCAGGTCTATATGACTTACCGAAAGTGCGTAAAGAAGGACTTCCATTGAGGTCAATATTAGACATGTGTGATTCTCCATATTACTCAACAGCGAAATGGCTCGCCAAGCTTCTAGAACCGATCAGAAAAGTCCTATCCAAACACAGCATCAGAGATACATTCAGCTTCGTATACTCCATAAGCCATATGCAGTTAACCGGAAGGAAAATATTTTCGCTAGATGTAGTGTCGCTCTTCACTAACGTCCCGCTGGAGGAGACGATAGACTACCTTTACGATGCTGTTCGATTGCACCATGTGGATATCGGCCTCTCGAACGAACGATTTAAATAGTTGCTTCTGAAGTGTACCAGGAACGTACAATTCATGTTCGACGGGAAGATCTACAGACAGAAGGACGGAGTCGTAATGGGCTCTCCGTTAGGACCGTTGTTAGCAGACGTATTTATGAGTAAGTTAGAGAACAATTATCTAAACGGAGTTATCGAAAACTAGTTTACTACGGACGGTATGTGGACGATATATTCTGCATCTCAGATAGTCATTTTTGCACGGAAGAATTAGTGAGGCAATTTAACTCAGCCCACGCAAACATAAAATTCACCCTTGAATCTGAGTGCAACAACTCAATGTCGTACTTAGACGTTCAGATTAGCCGAAGATCTGACGGGTCTGTCCAGCGCAGTGTCCATAGAAAGTCAACGTGGAACGGGCAATATACTCACTTTGCCAGCTTCATCCCGCTCAGCCAGAAACGGAAACTTGTTCGGTGCTTAACCGAGCGAGTAAGAAGGATATGTAGCGAAAACATGCTTCCGGATGAGCTAAACTTTGTACGAAGCCTATTCGATAGAAATGGCTATCCGGTGAGGTTCATTCGGAGAAACACGGAGGTACGAAAAGCGAAAGCAAAAATGGATTCAGTAGGAAAGAAATCGATCTACTTATCGTTACCGTTTAAGGGGGACAGAATAGCTGAATCAACGTCTAGAAGGCTTTCTGATGCCATCGCTCAAAGACACTATACAGCAAGCCTACGGCTAAGCTTCTGCTCGGTACCGCCTTGAAACAACAACTTAAGGACAGAATTCCAAGGTCAAGTACTCCATTCCGTGTATACACTTTCTCTTGCTCGTGTCGATGAAGGTATATCGGAAGAACTACCAGGAGACTGTCCGAGAGAACCAGGGAACGCTGTCCAGCTTGGCTGTATAGCGGCGTGACTAGATCAGTGGCAAGCGCAGTGTCTACACACCTGATCGACTCGAGCCACCAGGTCAGAGCGCATGAGGCCTTCCAGCCCATCTACCGCGTACCCAGATGCCACACAAGAGCGGTTAGATATCGTCTACTGGCAGCGGCCGACGCAATAGCCATCAGGCTTCATGACCCTGACCTATGTGCGCACAAGAAATTTGTCCAGGCACTAACCCTACCCTGGTCCCCTGTAACACGGACACATAGTGTGGACAACGCCACACAAACACACTGTTGATCGCCGTGGGGCCAATCACCTAGCTTGGTCACTCAGACCATCTGGGTTTTGAACCTGTACCCTTATCTGATGTTTACGTTCGTGTCATTTATTTGTGGTGTATTAGCCTGATGTAGGACCACTGAAAACGAGCTTGTTCGCTAACATTTGTTCTGATGTCTACTCCCGGGATATTTTATCATTTAATCATGTGTACTTCGGTTATTTTGCCATCTACGTACTCGATATCAAAAATTAACTGTCATTTAATCAAGTGTAAACCGAAATTTCTGAGTGCACTTCTTTCCATCGTCACAAGGAACACTCATGGCCCCACACACCACCGACTGAAATTAAAAATGTTGGGGATTATTTCTCACCAGCTTTATTGCCTAAAATTGAGTGCTCTGTCTGTATCCTTGTTAATGACTAACCAAAGTGATACGATATTCGTCAAGACACTTGGTCTAAAAAACACGGAATCTTTCGATACCTGACTTGAAGTGCAGTTGGATTTTGTTTTCACGAACAAAACTCAGTTTTTTTTAATACTTTACAGCGGGCTCTTCTAGGCAAATCAGATCACCGCGTCCCAAAGATGTGCCCAATTATTTACATCAAGATCATCAGACGACGAGACTGCTCGACAGAAAATATCGCGAAATTCCATGCGACCTTGGTTTCAGCCGGCTTATTAGTTTTCACGGAAGAAAACCTATCTTCGGAGTTCTGCTTTGATCTCTGCCGCATCGTCAAAACTATCTACCTACGCATGGACAGATTCTCCTTGCCTCTACTGCAGCAACTTAGACTACAGAAGGGGAATATAAATTCCAATTGTCTGTCGAAGTTAAACGACTCGTTGATAATAAAATTAGGGGTGATGCGATTGAATCGTTCTACATTGTGTTAAGTAATCACGCTTATCGCTACCTTTGGAGGCTCTTAAAAGAGCTGTGTGGCAAAAGTTCCCAAAGGCGTCTTGATAACATCGGTGTGAACAGACTCAATGCCAAGTTTTTTCCTCTTCACAGGGATGTGTTTCGTGTCCTCCTACACCAACACAGGTCCCGCAGTCCCCCTTGATCACTTGAGTGTTGGCTGGGAACTCAATAACGTGAGGATAATTACGGCTTCTGGACCTGATGCTTGATTCCCACTAGTCCTAAAAGGATGCGCGGGTTATCTACCGGTACCTATAAACGCCCTGTTCAACCGCTGTCATATGTGTGACACAATCCTTGGCATTTGGTGACCTGTAAGGATAACGCCTGTGCCCAAGAAGGAGTCTCAAAGCTATCGTCCGATTGTGTAGTGAACGTGAAACATTTACACTATCAGTATTTCGTGACAATGAATTTCATTCTCGTTTGGATCTTACAACCGTCCATTTGTTTTACTATTGGTACCTCACTGACTTTAAATTCCTCTTTGTCGTGCGGTTCATCGCTCCGTGCTTCGCTAATTGACTTCCAGTTCTTCGTCGTTTGTTACCATACACGCTGGGTTCGGCGACGTTCACTTCTGAATATTCGGTATCCATGGTTCCTCTTGCCGGTACTTGTCACTACCAACACCTAAGTTCGAGTGTACAATTGCGTATACGTCGGTGGTGTTGAAAGTCATCGAGAAACTACTTGTCCATCAGATCTCCACACGCACACACCCAGGCAAACAAGGTATATCAGTTTGCTTATAAGTCAAACCGCTCCACTTTGGATGCCGTGTCGTATCTTGTACATTCGGTATCATATGCATTGCATGGCAAATGCAGAGTAGTGCACCTATTGTTTCTGGATTATTTAAATGCTCCCTGGAGCGTCAACAAATCAATCCCGCTCAACCAGTTGCTCACAAGTTGCGTTCATACAACAAATGTCTGTAACGTGATTACAGACTACTTTACAATAGAAACCCACTTCACTCAGCTTAACGAAACAAAATCTTCCGCACTTTGCTCCGATCGTGGGGTTCTACAAAGAGCAATTCCTGTTCCACCACTGTTTTCACGATATGTAGCAAACTTCCTATATCGTACAACTTTATAGGCTGCAAGTATGCAGATGACGTCGTTATGGGATGTATGGTTCCAAACGTTGAGACATCTACTCTTCAGAGTGATTTGGATAAATTTGTGCTGTGGTCATCGTCCCGGTCTCTGATTTTGAACATTTCTAAATGTTTTGATGTAACTGTCTCTTCGGGCTGATAAAACGCAAGCTGTTTCGAATGTCACTTTTTCGTTGACAGTAGGTGATCAACTCATAAATACCTTAACTGTCAGATATCTTTGTGTCTTTTTGGTCTACG